TTTGTGATGGAGCCTGGATGTAGGGGAAGCCTCAGAGTTTCTGGTAGTCCTGATCCAATATTGGGCTGGAAATAAGTCCGATATTGTCCAAAAAACGAATTAAACTCCTTATAAATCACCAAGCCATGCTGATAGATCCACTCTGCTCCAGCATTTCTGTCAGACAGAGCCTTTATCTGACGCCTAGAACCAACGTATTCAAAGCACTGTGGACCAGGAACAAACCCGCTGTTTATCACTTTCATTTTTCTGTCGTTGAGTTAGCATTAGCTTGCATGACTGGCTCCGTGATGCTGGTTTTCCTTCAGTGTGAGCGCCATAAGCGTCACGTCACGTGACTAAGAAAACGTAACGGGATTGGCTGGGTGTTGGACGCCACAATCCATTGATAATGTCTGTGACCTGAAGTAACCCTTCTCTTTTTACACTGAATTTAGACGCCGAACTTAAGACAGTGACATAGAGCCAGTTGAATCTCAGGAGGCTGAAAATATTGAGTTTGAATTTTGAAAGGTTGATTTTTTTTTTTTATATATGCAGATTTTTTTTAACACTGAAAAATAAGTATTGAAAATGTAATCACTTTGAAATAGTAATGTGAATTTTTAGGTTTTAGAGAAAATAAATGAAATTTCAACTGTGTAGAAATAATGAAGGCCAAAAATGTGTTCTGAATATATTTTAACACTGAAACAGTAAGTACAAACATACAACATTTAAATTTCAGTGGCATTTTTGATTCAAATCCCAGCAACACAGATTTACTTCCATACCCGGTTCAAAAATTCTCGCACGACTGAAAAATTGGCCTGAAAAGGGCAAAAATTCGTACAGTGTAGGCGCGGATTAAGCTTGTATGAGCGATGCAAGCAGAAACTTTTAAACATGGTGCATGAGGAGAATTGTGCACGCCCTCGCACATATTTAATAGGCGTTCCCTCTTAAGAGCTTGTACCGGGTTGTGCATGTGCATTTTCTTTTTAAACTGGAGAGGGCGGGTCTTTTCAGAAATTTGTGTGAATCCTGAACTAAACCTTTAATACAATCCAGTAACCTGGTGTCATTTCAAGATTTTAAAAGCCTTTTTAGACTCAGTGGTGCCTGAAGTTTTCTAAAGTCAGGATTAGAGTTGGACTGATAACTCAACAGGCCGATATCTCTGTGTGTTGTTGGCTTGATTAGTTAATAGATGTTTATTTTTTGTTTTAAACAAGAACTTTGTAACATTTGTTCTCATCTTGTCCTTTTCATCATGCAAATAAAGAAAAAGGAATATTAGCCTAAAGAGTTGAAATAAAAAGATTGGCTACGCATGTCAGGGATCAGCTGGACTGGTGTCAAAATAATCAGCATTTAAAATATCGGCATTGGTCTGTCACTGGTCAGGGGGACTGATGGGAAAGATGAATAACATAAAAAAAACAGCTGGAAAATGTTCTAAATATATTTTGGTTTATATGGTTTAGTTTGTTTACCTACTATGCATTAAACCCAGCTGCAGATAAAGTCATCCAAAAGGCTGAACTAGTAAATCATTGTTGATCAAAACCCAAAGAGCAGTTTCTTTAGGCTCAGTTTAAATAAAATAAATTTTATTTTCTCTGAAATAAAACCAGGATTTGACTCACTCTGCTTTGAAAAGACCTGCAGTTTTCAGCCAAGTTTAATAAGTTAATAAAAGAAACTCCAAGTGATAACAAAACATGTCCATCTCCTTTATTCTGGAGTTTCAGTTGTCGGCCTGCGGGCCGTTAAAGGCCCCCAGGCCACACTTTGGGCACCCCTGCTGTAGCTTCAGCGGCTCCGTTCCTGGATCAGTTTGAAACCAACCCGTAAAGTGAAGCACAGCTTTATCTGCTCTCAGAAGATCTGCAGCTGCTGTTCCTCCTCATGCTGTTGTCATAGAAACGCTCTTTGTGTTTGTTTGCAGTTATCAGTCCGGCTCAGTGAGGCACGTTCCCTCCTTGGACTCGATCAGCTGTGCTGTGGATGGAGTTCACCTCCAGGTAACGGACGTCTCCTTGTCTCAGACGTTGGTTCAGATCCTGGTGGTCAAAGGCTGCTGGTTCTCCTGCAGTGTCAAAAGCTTTACCTTTAATTCACCTTTATATTTAAAAAATACATTTCTAATACATACAGTAAATACATTTTTTTCTTTAAAAAATTACTCTGAAAATTATACAGGAATGTGCTGAAATTAGAAAATATAATTTGTTTTTTGATTACTTAAACTTTGAACCTGTGTGGTCGATCCCACCTCTGGTTCCAGCAGAGGAAAGTTTTCTAAAAGCTTTTTCAGGCAGTAACATCATCTGGGTTTGAATCTCAGGGACGATCATCAGGTTTTTCTTACATGTAAACTAAACTAAGACAAAACTTTACTGAATGCTTCCTCTGTTCGAGCTGTTTATCGTAGCGCTGAGGTGAAGCTCATTGCTGCTCAGATTTCAAAGTAAAAGCCTCTGATGTTGACCAAAAAGCCAAATCCACACACAGCTCTGATTTTCTCCTGTGTAGCCCTCCTCTACCTTCCTACTCTATGGCTCTGATGAAAGTGGGCGGTCCCTCAGCGAAGGGAACTCCCCCTCGCGCCTGGCCCGTCACGGCAGCCGTGTTCGCCATGGTTCTGCCGCCGACTACGGCCGCCACGCCGCTCAGAGTCGCCGGGTTAGCCGCAGGGATCGGACCGCTGTGAGAATGACTTACAGTTATTTATCCCCCCCCCCGCCTGCATCTTCAGCCCTTCATCATCCTCCTCCTCCTCACTCCTTCAGATTTCTCATCTCGCTCCATGAATCCAGTCGTGTTTGTGTGTTTCTAGTGGCCAGTGTTTTTCAGTGTTTAGGAACCAGCCCCGTTTTAATCACCTTTCAGATCATCTTACATGTTTTCATTTAAAATAAAAGGATCCAAAGAAGTTTCCAATTTATGATTTTATCAAGAGAAAATAGCATCTATCAAAACCTGGTTCTCCTGTTCCACAAAAATAGTCCGTTTTTATTGTAATAAGTGGAATAATTGATCACTGCTGCACTTTAAGGAATGGAAATGTCATGAAAGTTTTACAAAACGAAATTTCATTTTGTATACACTCTGTGTGTACTTTTATTTTGGTAATTTATGTTAAATATCTTCCATGAGAAATCTGTTGCCATTTTAAATAACCAAGAACTTATTTGGATTCTTTTAAAAATAAGGAAAAACAAATAACGATTCATATAACTGAAGCGTGGATTGTTTTCTGTACGGTTTTATTTGATGCAAAAAAAAAAAAAAGATAATAACCAGGATTTCTTCAAAAATCATTAAATTATATTTTAAATTAAGGCCTTATTGACATTAAAATTCATTAAATGTGATTATCGTAGCATTTAAAATGCTTTATTTAAAAAAAAAAAGAAAATACATTTCTAAAAACAATTTTGTCAGATAAATTATATTGCAATATATTTGCACAGAACTGCTTCCAGTTGATCGTAAAGTCGTATGTTTGGAAAATAAGCTTGAGGTGGAGAAAAAGCTAGAAACGGGGAAAAAAACAAGGAATTTGGGACATGGCGGCAGTCTGTCGACGGTAAAGATGACGTGTTTTACACGACTCAACCAGCCGGGTTCTGCCCGCTGCTTTCTGTTCTCTAAGCACATCCTGATTGGAAGCAGAACTCTATAAAGTGTGTGAAACATTTCAACCCGACCCATTCATCCATCCACTGGTTGTTTCTGAATGTCGCGTTCCAGAGGAGCCATTACAGAAGTCCTTAGATCCACTCTGTATGTCGCAAAAATATCATCGTCCAGATATCTCTGCTCTGAAATAAGTATCACAAAGTAGCAGTTCGGCAGCCGATCTGCTGAAATCTGATGCTGCATCAAAGCTTTTAGCAGCTGTTCAGGAGTCGACTGGAAACTATGAATAAGTTGTTTTAATGTAAATCAGATGTTTTCAGTCAAACCTTCCATGAGATGTTTGAGCTTCTAGGAGAAGCTGGTCTGATGTTCTGAGTGAAGGACTCCTCTGATGGCTCCAAACCTGCTGGCATTTCCTGACACAACCGCCTCCTTCTCACTCTGACCCGCTTGTTTATCACACGACAGGATGCTGTTGGCTCCACCAATCAGCTGGCGCCTGGAGGGAGCGGGGGGGCAGAGAATGGCCTGTTGGCCCCCCCACACAACAGCTACGTCCACCACGGAGAAAGAGCTCGAGCCATGTCTGCGTCCGGGAAGGTAGGGCGGCGCCCACACCTCCGCATGACAAGGGCTGGGTATTGTTCAAAAATTTTCGGTTCCGGTACCAATACCGATACCTTCACTTCGATACCGGTTCCTGAACGATACTTTTTTCGATACCAGTTTTATAATATCAATTTGAAGAAAAAGAAAATTCCACAACATAAAAAAGGACAAATCTTGAGTTTTATTTTAAGCTCTGATTTTTCCATTTAAATTTTTCCTCTTACATAAAAAAAAAAAATTCAGTGTCTAATATTCAGTGTTACATTGTGAGGACCTTTTTACTTAACAGTTTTCCTTTAGAAAAATTACCATGTCTGACAAACAAGCCAGTTGAATGGGATCCTACTGACAGCGCACCGCTGGTATGTGGGGGTCTGAGCGGCTCCCACAGAAATATTGGAAGGCAGGATGAACTGACTGCACTGATTAAGTTTTCAGGTGGATTTTCTCACTTAAAAACATAATAAAACTACTTTATTCTCACTAATCACAGCAAATATAGCTGCCAGGCAAATAAAGGATACAGTAGCTCCGCCCAACGCGCGTCAGAGCCACTTTTCGACCGCGCAGCCAGAGCAGCAAAGCT